AAATAATCAGGTTCCTGTGCCAGAAAGCGAGAATCCTCCGGCTCCTCATGATGAGGAGATGGATCCTCCACCCAACGAAAATGAGGGTGAGGATATGGACACAGGGGAAGAAGGACACGTCTCTATTCTTGCTCAGGAAGGGGGAGTTAATTACATGGATTATTTGCTTTCTCAAGCGCATGCCCTGCATGGGATGCAGTCAAGCGCTTATGATACAGTTAGGGAATGGTCTTATAAAGACATCCTCAAACGTCCCAAAGAGGAGATCCCTAAATGGCAGAAAGCATGCAGACTTGAACTTCAATCACTCAAGGAAAGAGATGTCTTTGAGGAAGTTCCTAGACCCAAAAGCCGTAAACCAATTCGATCTCGTTGGGTATTCGATGTCAAGTCAGATGGCAGATTTAAAGCCAGACTTGTAGCGAAAGGATTTTCGCAGAAGGAAGGGATAGACTTTAACGAATTGTTCTCTCCTGTAGTACGGTTTGAAACTGTACGACTTCTATTGGCATTAGCAGCGCTTGAAGACTGGGAAATCACAGCGCTAGACGTTAAAACCGCATTCTTATACGGTGCCTTAGAAGAGGAGATATATATGGAACAACCTGAAGGATTCGTTACGGACTCCAGCAAGGTTTGGAGGTTGCGCAAAGCATTATACGGACTGAAACAAGCTTCAAGAGCTTGGTGGCATCAGTGTACTGAATCTATGAAACGTCTAGGATTCAAGAGATGCTTGTCCGATGCTGGCGTATATGTCTTCAGGAAACAAGGCAAACTTGTTATTGCCGTTGTTTATGTTGACGATGCTTTATTCATGGGCAACGATAAAGCCTTAATGATACACCTAAAGGAAGAGTTCAAAAAGATATGGGAATGCAGAGACTTAGGCGAGCCTACCGAATTCCTGAGGATGCGAATTTCTCGCGATCGAAAGAACCGCACAATCGTCTTAGACCAGCGGGACTACCTCGATAAAATTATTCGCAGATTCGGAATGATAAATGCCAAGTCCGCAGCCACACCTTTACCTAGTGGTTACAGCCCGGTGAAGAATACTGAACCGGTTGATCCCATTATTCGCCAAAGATATCAATCTGTGATTGGCTCATTACTCTATCTGGCGTTGGGAACACGTCCAGACATATCTTTTGCCGTAATCAAGATGTCTCAGTTCAGTGTGAATCCAAGTCGCGAGCACCTGAACAAGGCATTGCATATAGTACGATACCTAGTAGGCACTCGTTTATACGATCTCGTCTACAATGGTAAATCAGATGGAGGACTCGTGGCCTTCGCTGATTCAGACTGGGCAACTGATATTGATGACCGTAAATCACAGACTGGTTATCTTATAAAGCTTGCAAGTGCACCTGTTTGCTGGGTATCCCAGAAACAAAAGACCGTCGCACTATCATCCACAGAAGCTGAATACATGGCTCTCTCTGATTGTACACGTCAGATTAAGTGGATGAAATCTCTACTCGAAGAAATTGGCTATCCAATGCAATCAATACCTTGTGTTAGCGACAATCAAGGCGCTATCTTTCTCAGTAGTAACGAAGTCTCTGAGAAGCGCACGAAACACATTGATATTAGATTTCATTTTATTCGGAATGCAGTTGCTGAGAAGGACGTTCTCATCTACTATGCACCCACTGCAGACCAACCTGCAGATCTTTTAACAAAGAACCTAGCCAAGGTCAAATTCGAGAAGTTTAGACAAGCTTTAGGCCTTCATTTTCAGTAGACGCTCAAAGGACATTTTTGCGGGTTGAACAGTTGACTCATCACGTGACTGAACCTTTTGACCCGCACCCACTACTGTGACGTAGTTAAATTTTATTTTTACCTTTGGCACTCCTGGGAATTGAACTCTGGACCTCACGCTCACAATGCACCAAAATGGTGTTACCCAATATTACCATTAGACTAAATGATCTTTGGTAGTATCACTAACTCAAATCTTTATAAGAGTTTAGTGAGGGGGAGTGTTGAACATGTGATTACCATGTGATACACTTTATTGACTTGTTGTTTACGTGTCTATTATTTATAGACTCTTTCACTATGACACTTGCACTCGTATGAAAGATCCTGTACTTACTCAGACAGACTCTGTAGTTAGTCAGTACTCACACCTTATCTCTATGGTTTATAACAAGGTTCAGCTTTGCACCCAATAGCGTTCAAAGCTGACTGAGCTTTCTCTCTAGATTACTTAGATAGAAAGCTAGTATGACTATGCCTACTTACTCACTCTGCTCTTCGAGCACTTATGCTTACTGATATGCAATATGTACCATATGCTATATTCTCACTTACCTATGTTCTATGACTTGTAGATAGACAAGGACTCTTGTATAAAAGCTGGAGACTTTGTGTCTCAAAGCTTTAGGACAATCTACTCGATTATCACCTCTAGCAAGCATCTACAAGAACACAAGAATTCTCTTATAGTCAATATGTGAGGTTTTAGTTTCATCTCACTGTGCATTTAACTATGCTGGCTCAATAATCGCGACGACTTCCCTTTGAAGGATAGGATTGGTGTTAGAAGGTTCCCTATTCCTGGCTTGCCACCCACTTCACGTCCAATGCAGCAACTAAATACAACAATATCACACCAAGATACCGAGCAGTCCCCGGAATTGTTGAAAGGTATGTACATCTGTGCTGCTGCTACTGGTTCCAGCATACTAACTGATGTCTGAATATTGCATAGTTCTTCGGTGTTGGGCGCAGGAAGTGCATGCAGCAATGACACGGTCGTTTTCAGGCTCAGGTATGATGCTCTCCTTCACTTGCTTTACATTTAGATAACTCACGACGTCCCAAATAGGCTGGATCAAGACCATGACCGTTCGTAATGATATGGTGGCAACTGCAGTAGCTACTCCCCCTCTCCATTGATATTTTGTTGCTCTACTAGTATATTCTGCCTGTTCATACATGTCGCTACAGTCTACCATTCACTTAGTCTAGTACCACTGTTGTATTGTATGGTAGATAGTAATGATATTCAATTTCTGACAATATCTCAATGCGTGCAGTGGAATTTCAAGTAATATGTAGCAATACATGAGAAAAGCCCTGTTGCGGTCACCCGCTCATTCAGGATGTCCATAATAGCTGTGAATGGCTGGCAATGTGCAAAAAGGGTTCGATTTTTTACATTGCCAGCTATTGCCAGACAAATGCCAGATATTGGAGTGCGACCCCGCGCTTAATACCTGGGAATATCTGACAAATGCTGAGAATATGTGCTCATTTTCACTGGGGATGAGCTCTTGCTGTGCTACCTGGCTAATATCACGTCCAATTCAGATAGTATCAATACTTGGAAGGACGAATAGGACCGTGAGAAAACTCAGCCACAATGTATAGAGCTTCGAATCCGAAGTTCTGTCGTCACATTCCCTCAAATTCAAGTCGTATTAAACGCCGTTGAGTCACTGAGCTGAAGGTCTGACAGGGACCCCATGAGTCCTTCGAAAGATTTTATTGGATCCTTCCGGCGTCACGCCCGCTCGCCTCGTTCTTGAATCTCGAAGCCCGGGAGGCGAGGCATTAATATGAATGCGTAATCCTTGACAGTGAGTATACTGTACTATATGATTACAAGGCTTCCCTGGTCATCCTGCAACCCCGAGAAGTGTCGCAAGAGCTCAGCTGCCTGATCTGATTCTCACTGTGCGAATCAAACTGTACTCTTTATGATAATGATCTAACGAGCCAAACGGTACAAGGCTCGTAACTCGAAATGTCCATTTCGATCTCTGACTGAATATAGAGCCTCCCGGACTCCAAGACAACGGCGTATAGCGCTAAACTTACGCGGTAATATGAACAAGAGCAATTTTGCGACTAGGCGTAGTCCTCAAACTCAGATGTGCAATCATTATAGGCTATCATAAGGTCCTCATCATACGACCACTCCGCAGTTCATTGATTCAACAGCATCATCCCAAGAATAGGTGTGGATTGTACTCGAAGAAACGATCGTTACCTTGTTATTAAGTGATTTCTCCGCAACTTCCACGGAACGAGTGTTCTCATGAAAACGTGATTCCAGATGTAGTCACGTATAAAGGAGGATGGCTCTGAGCAGTCTCATTAAGCCCTCACTCTTTCCGCCTCTAGTCATCTACTGTTGGGACGCTGCGAAATCATGAAGTCTCTTGCCCTCGCTACTGTCGCTGCACTCTTCGCCGTTGCGGAGGCTGTGGTTACCATCAACACGCCGTACGATCATCTAGTCTCCTTTGTGGGGTTGTCAACCGTCTGACTCCCGTCCGTGTATCATAGTAATAACCTCGTCCAATGCCAGCCAACGCTCATTACATGGAGCGGTGGACCAGGTAAGTGGGAACAGCCCCGCGCCGCACCCTTCGACGCATTGACCCGAATCTTCACTCCTTTAGGTCCCTTTACTTTGGTACGCTTTTTGTTCCTTGTCCGAGTCTGATGCGTCGCTAACCTGGTCACGTCTAGTCGTACGTCACGTCCCTTTCGCCCCGCCATCGATGGCTGACTCCAAAAATTCTGATACAGCATTCAGGATGGCAACAATCCCACTGGACCTGCTCTTGAGACGTTCCCTGGACTCCAAGGTACCTCTTTCACCTGGGATGTCGACATTCCTGCCGGTGAGTCCTGTTAAAGCTTATGTAGTTTTCAATCATTCTGACGCTCTTGCTACTATCAGGTCGTTCGGTCGGCTTTCTCCTTAGGGACAGCACTGGCGCAACTTCTCAGACCGCTGCAGTGACAATTCAAAAAGGAAGTGAGTTCCGGTGTTCGTTGTCCCCTCGGCTTGACGATACCATTCGATGATTATGTGCTCATCAAGTTTTCAGCTCAAACTTGCTAATCTCTTGTGTATGTAATACACAACTGGGAAGTGAAAGTCGATAGTAACATCAGTCTCGATACGAAAAGCCAGTAAATGGAGGGCTTCAAATTGCAATATATTCCTGTGAATCTTTGGTAGAACATAATCCCTGGTAGTATATCGGTTAGTACACGCGCCTGTCATTAGCTTTGGACGCGCGAAAGCTGGGTTCGACTCCCAGCCAGGGAGTTTTAATCAGATTTTTGGTCTTCGCGGCTCGCTAGGGAGTCATTTCAAATGGGACGGGCGGAAATTCGTAGTACGAGATAGTATTTCAATGTGATATGGACTTCAGAGCTCCCATTGTATCTCATTATCCTTCGTGAGACTAAGTTATGTCCTCAGCACCAAGTATTTACCCTGTACTTGGGTATGATACAGGACCCGAACAGGGTCGTGATCCATCCTGATCCATCATCCTGCGCCCGGGATTCTTGAACAGCAATGACTCTTTAGACACATACTAGCACCGCAGCTCTCCTGATGAGCATTTGAGATGATGATTCTGCTACAAGGAGCCTTGAGAGCGCTCGAAATCCGGCAGGAGACTACAGCAGTGCATGGCACCTTTGAGCTCCCGTGAGAAAATGGGAAAGGCACCGAGCCCCGACGCGGACGCGCTTTTAGGCGCGTTACCACGTGGCCGTGAAAAATTCCAGGGTCTGACGTCGGTCTCGGTTGGCTGTCCACAGCCACGGCTAGCCACGGGCATTGTCAACGGTCCCAGCTCTTTCCTCAACCACCACCATCTCAGGTTTGCTCTTCAATTGCCACTGAAGTTATCCGATATGCTCATGAGGTCTATCTGTTAATCCTCCTATTCAAACCATCATTTCCTTTTCTAGACCGCTCGGTGACCGGTCTGGCTTTCTCAGTTTCGTGTCGTCTGCTGCCACTTGGAGCTGCGCACAACGACGAACCCGGCAGAAACGACCAAGGAAAAGGCTCTTCGACAATGTTCGACCAACTTATGCATATCTCTCAACCATCCTCCTCGAAATTACCGCTTGGCGAGACCGCTCAATCACTCCCCGCATACGACTCCATACCGGAATCCGACATTGCTGACCATTACTACGACAACCTGTTGGCACACGAACAAGAAACGCTATCATTTGATCTTCCCGATGCACCCCCTCCGCGTCCTGATAGTCGGTTAGATTTCAATCCCGCTGAGAAGCGAGAGGAGGAAGTTGAGGAACCGCATATGTCTATACTCGGCCCCAGGCCACTTCGTTTCGAGTGGACAAAAAGTCTGTTCCAAAAAATTGGGATACGTCGCTCCTCTCATGAGAAAAGCGCGAATACGAACCTTCCGTCTCCAGAAACTGAACCCTCGCCGTCATCATCTCGGACGGCCCATCTTCACACTTCCCGCTCGCCCCCACACTCATCCTTACAACCGCCACCTGAACACGACATTCTGTTCGACGACGTGACCTTCGCTTTTTGCTTCTCCGACGAAGACGATGAAACGGACGACGAGACAAGTGACGAAGAGTCCGAACTTGATCTTGACAATCTGTCGCTGTCGGATTTTGACTTGCAGGAGTCTGATGGACAAGTGCCCTCGTCTGTAGTTGGAATGGCTGTCGAACGGTCCTTATCTACACCCACATCGCCGGACACCTCTCTTCCAACTGAAGCCTTGGACGACTCCTCTATGGTTCCTTCACTATCCGACGAGCCTCACCCTGTCAAACCAAGATTCTCCTACCAGCCTTCTCCACTCTCGCCCAAGTCGTTTTCTGGATCTCGCTCACAGACCACCTCGCCACAACCTCAACGACACAACTACCAACACAGGGGCCACTCTCGGCACGCTCTGAGACACCTCAAATGGTTCTGGGCGACACGCGAGGAGGAGTGGGCTCAGTACGAGAATGCTACCCGTGCCTACGGCGGCATCTCCACATCACCAGAGCTTCCATCCTCATCCTATGTTTCACAATTTTCAGGGCTGTTCGCGAGCGCCCGCACCACAAAACCCAATCATCGGAGAAGTGCAAGTGCTCCGTGTTCGCCGGTACCTTCAATGCCTCCGATGACAGTGCATCCAAGATGGGGTGATCTGTCGGGGTTGAGGGACCCGTGGTGTGTCCATATGGATAGGTACTTTGTTGAGGTACCTATGTGGAGGATTAGGAAGTCGCTCTGGACAGCTGATCTGCACGTCTTGAGTATGGTGCATCAGCGACTGCGAGAGGACGCAGAGGACTCCGCGTCCTCCACAGACGATGAAGATGAAGATACCGAGTCGCTGATGCAGATGTCGATGCTGACGGGGCTGAGCGACGACTCCGACTTGACTCTCGTGGACAGTGATTGCGAGGGCGACGTCGTAACTGCTTCTCCTAACTCCAACGAGAGTGGGTCGGCGTCAGGGAAGCAGAAAGAGAAGTCGTTGGATCAAGATGATAATGAAGCAGAGCAGGAGTACTATGAAGATATAGACCTCGATGAACCGTCCACGTCGTCTCACGGTGGTCCGTCAGCGTCGTCCTCTTCGTCATCCTGTCGCTATACGCTCTCTTCGAGCAAGTCGTCGCTTACTTCTTGCTTTGACACCCCTTCTGTTCTCCCTTCTCAACCGGCTCTCAGCTTTCATCCTCCTTACGCACCTCGGTCGCCAAGTACTCCCTTCTCGGGGAAACTCGAACATTCTTGGGCCACCAATTGGTATCAGAGATCGCAGCTTCTTCTACAGTTGTTGACCCGCGAACAAGAGAGTCGGGACAACTCTTTGTCTGGGCTCACCTTCGAAGCTGCCAGTGAAATTAAAGGGCAACGATCCACTTCAACGGTTGAAGACGTGACAAACGCCTCTGGTTCACTTGAATCACGGATGCAGTCAGGTTTACGGTCCGTCTCGGTTTAAGGTTCTTTCTACCATAATATCAATGCGCGCATCCGAATCCATTTCTCATATATCCCCCATCCCCACAAGTCAAATTTTAGATTTGTATGATCATCTTGCAACTTTTCGCCAAACCTCCGCACGTACACAACACATGTCTGCTCTAGACACGCATGCTTCCATACATCCCGTCCATATCCCACAGCAACATTCCCTATCTTCCATTCCCGACCGCGGCTACGATTTAGAGCTTCGCTACAAACTCTCTTTTGGTGCATCTCCATTTCTCTACCCTTTACGCCCCTCCATCAACACCCCTTCCTCCTTTCCAACTTGACGCTTACCTCTCTTACCGCAAATTCGTTTGGGCTTTTTCGGTTTTGAGATTTGCTTTGTCGCCCCGCTGTCCATTGTCATACAAATTGCATACTACCCACTACTCATCTAGCATTTAGCTGTCTGTTTTGCATTATAACCATCGTACTATGTTTACACTACTGGCCTTTAGGCTGTATTAGGGTACATTCTCCGGCTCATGAATTTAACGAACTGTTACGACCGTCTTTTGTCTGCCTTAATCAAATTGCTCGACCTTAATGAACGTTGTAAGCGGTTTCCGATGTCAAGTTCAAGAAAGGCTTGAAGACGTTATCCCCGATGACCACGAGGACAACTTGGATTCGCTGACGCCCAACTAACGCCCAACTAGCTTTTCGCGTCCACTACCACCACGGTCCACCCACTTACCAATGGAATCAGCAGAATCCAGCACTCCGCCCTGGCAAGAGACGCCTCTCGCTCAAGCTCTAACATTTCTTCCTGTCCTCGGTGCATTCTTGTGGAAAAGCACCCTCTACATTCTCCAAACGCTCGTTTACTACCCACTGAGCATCCTCCGAATACCAGTCTTAGCACCCTTCGCAATCCTCTTGTATGTCTTCGCGCCCGCGATAGTCTTCGTGCAGGTCATCTTGGACGTCGTCGTTTTCATACCATACCGTGCATGCGTATACTTTGTGGACGCATTATACCCGTTATACGTGTTCTGCGGGGTCGCGTGCATCACTGGCGTGCTTATTGGAGGACTGGGGAGAGTGTTAGCTTCATGGACGACGATGATAGTCATGGATATCACCAATCCACGACAGGAGAAAGGCGATGTGCATGAAATTGAAGGAGGATTGGAAAAACCACAGTTGGAATTCACGGAATGAGTGAGAACGTACGTGGGATTTGTTCTTCGCCCTTTCATTTCCTCATTTTGTTTAGCTCTTTAGGTTCGATGAATCTTCGGGACGTTCCTTGTACGCCATTGTACGATAGGTAGTAGTCTGCCTTGTTCCTTATAGGTGTACCAACATTCAACGTATTCAACATCCACGGACTAAGCACTGACACCACAGCTCCGCGCCAGGGATGACATTCGCCGCTGTCACATCGACCAGCCAACGTGCTATCTGGTTAAATATAATCCGTGTTCCAAAGGCTTAGGACTATGAATTTATCAATACGCTGTAATATGTACGAGAAAGAGAGAAACCAGAAGCAAGAGTGAGAAAAAGTATGAACGTGGGGGAGAAAGATAAATGCAAAAGAAAAAGGGCGGGGACAGGACGGACGAGGAATTTTGGGAAAGAGAGTGCGAATAAGAACAGCGGTAAAGACAGACTCGGGGCGTCCGATTCCTTCATAGTTGGCCAAGGAGGTTCGCAGGTGAGTAGATAGACAATCGATCATATAATTCGACAGATACCAGAGACAACAGAAAGAAAGGAAATATTAACCGAAAAGCGTAGTGAGCGGAGTGAATCAACAGATGGAGTGTGAGGGGTGTCCGGGAAATCACTGGGAAACAAGATACAAAAGCGGCTCAAGCCCATACCTAAACAGGGATAAGTGTATTAGCAACAATCAAATCAATGATGTTTCATTGAGGATACGAACCCTAAGTGTGCTGTCCCAACTGCCTGTGCACAACGCCATTCCGTCGACAGAGACGCCTAAACAGCTCACACGGTTTTCATGACCGGTCAAAACACCCACACGCTCTCCCTTGAGGGTGTCCCAGACATTACATGTCCAGTCATCGTATCCGCCAAACAAGATTCGCCCCGAGATGGAGAAAGCTACGGATGTTATACCACAAAGGATGTTGTCGTGTGTGAATGAGTTGAGCTCCCGATCAGCCCGAATGTCGAAGAGACGGCAAGACGCATCATCAGAGCCCGTGGCAAATGCATCACCATTGGGGAAGAACCTTAAAAACGTCAAGTGTCAGCGTAAGGGAGAAATGATGGTATGGGGTCAGGGTGCTCACTGGACAGCGTTGATA